TCTAAATATTTCTTTTAATGTTTTTAATATAAAATAATTAAATATGTAAGATTTTCCTAACGAGAAATTCATACGAGAACAATAACTAAATAAAAAAACATAAAAATAGTCAAATCACGTGTATAATCACATATGATTTCACACTGATTGCCAACGTAAGGACACGGGGGTGACCTGGGCCTCGACATTAAATCACGTGTATGACCTGGGCCTCGACGTTAAATCACGTGTATGACCTGGGCCTCGACGTTAAATTTCCAATCTCAGATAACAAAATACCTACTAGGTTAAAAAGAGAAAACCACGATTGAAACTTATGGCGACTTCATAACTCGCTTTGAAGCTAGCCCGGTTCAGGGACGGACTCAGAATTTTTTTTCAAACGGTGTTACCATTTGTTAATAAGAAAAAACTATAGGGAAAAAATTTCAAGCGGTGGCACCGTTTGACTATAAGAAACAAAAATACAGAATTTTTTTTCGAACGGTGGTACCATTTGACTAAAAAAATGACACTAATACAATTCGAACTTGGGTCTAGGGTGGAATAAAAGTCTTGCAAACCAACTCTACCAAATAAAATTTGTTCTTATTGTAGTTTCTAAATACATATGGTGGCATACAACAAGATTTCGTGTTGCGAAACCAATGCAACATAGTTAACTTCTTTTTTTAGTAAGATTGCTTGTTTGTTTGCTATTTGCATGCATTCCTTCGTATGAACAATGTATTCAGGTTCCCCCACAACATATGTGAGAAGAAAAGTTAACGTGAAAAGTGTAAGAAGGGATCTGAACCTTTGATCACCTTTGGTCTCAAACCTACCCATGAATCGTTCTTGATATGAGGATTGACCCGGTGCATCTCATCCTAATGTGCATCCAAAAGTGGAGATCACTTATTACGCTTCTCATATTAACTCTCTCATTCTCACCAGAACCCAGTCCGATTGGAACGTGAGAACAAAACTTTCTTATAAATTCATTTATCTTTGTTTACTATTTTTATCACAATTTTATGAGTTCTCAAATGAAGTTTCTCCTCTCTTGAAAGAAACAAACAATATTTTATAACAATAAGAATATGTAAAATACCAACTTGTGACACCCATAGGTCATAACATAAACGTAGCAGTAAATCATAATTACACAGACTAATGTCTTGGGCCACCGTCACTTACCCCAACGTTTTCCGAATAAACCCCTCACATTTCTACATTCGATAACAAGAAAACAATAAAAAATAAGATCAAATACACCAAAGGACCTTTGGCCTAGCGGTATGTGAGTTTATGGCCTCCTAGAAGGTTAGAGGTTCAAACATCACCAAATGTGAAGAGAATGTGTGAGTTTATTTATTCTATTTGCTGTATATAAATATTATATACTTAAAAAAAGATCAAATACGTCAAGTGCATTTTACGAGCCACTTTGGAACCAAATTCTTCGACTCGTTTTATAGGCATGGAGTTTGCGCCAACTTTTGTCGCTCTAACTATTAATTCTTCATAAATAGAGTAGTAGCCGGTTCTAAATTATGAGTTAGGGGCCGTTTACTAAACTCTTATTTGATAAGTGCTTAACAGACTATTTTCCTCACCGGATGAACATGGCAAGGGCCAAGAATCTTACCTGGTAAGAGCGATGATAAGGATTGAGAGTCTTACCCGGTAAGTGAGGGTGACGACTCTTACCCGGGTAAATTGTTGCATAGGATACCGTTTGATGTACTACAATCTTATCAGATAAAAACAAATTATAATGTTGATTCCTATTCGTAAGCTCTTACCGAGTAAGCATTTCGGTAAACGGCTCATTAGTTACACGTATGATTAGGTTTTCATGAGGAGCATATTATAAATGAATAAACGATTAAACATTACCAATAACAAAAGCACAAACATGAAAGGGGAAGACTGTTATAAGGAACCAACATTACATAAAAACTGACAGATAAAAAGTGTTATCTAACAGCCAATTAAATTCAGTTAAAGGAGAAATGATGCTAAAATACCTAAAGACCCTCATTCAGAGCAAGAAAGGACCAAACACTAGTATTTTAGAATGGATCGGGTCTTGAAGGATTAGAACCAATTTTATATTGCCTGGGCCGGCTCACGACCTGTCCTTGTTCATCTCTCATTGTAGGATATACGACAAATAGAACAAATAAACTCACATATCATCCTCAAATTTGGTGAGGTTTGAACCATTGACCTGCTAGGAGGCCAAAGACTCACATACCGTTAGGCCAAATATCATTTGATAGTATTTTATAATTGTTGTTTTATAGATAAATGTGTAAATTTTGAAAATGACATTTAAAAGAATTCAATTTTTTTTTTTGTATTTTCCAATAAATAAAAGAAAAAATTAGATTTTTTGAATGTAATAAATATGTAAAATTTCATATTAATCTAAAAATAATAATATAAATTCACTTTTAAGGTTTTGGAATGGAATATAAATCAAGGGTATTATTGGAAATATGTTTTTATTTGAAAGTTTTTAATGGAATCCACCTCATGAAACTTGTGGAAAACTAACCATGTATGCTGTATTATATTTTTCTAATTTATTATTTAAATTAATTTATATTTACATTTTTATTTTAAAAAATGAATTTTATATTTTAAATCGTTTATTAATTTTTTTAATAGTTATATCGGTCTTCATTTTTTAGATCGATTATTAGGATTCAATCGCTTACCACTACGTCAAAAACAATTGCTGATGGAGAATGCACAACTTATTTTCTTATAGCGTAACATCAACGTCACGTTTCGATTTAGGAAGATGCTGGTTATTGAACCAACACTCTTTTATGTCTACCAATTAAAATAGAACACATTGTTAGGGGCCGTTTACCAAATACTTAACCGGTAAGAGCTTATCAGTAATATTCAACATTATCATTTACTTACCTGGTAAGATTTTAGTTCACGAAAACGACATTGTATGCAACAATTTACCTGGTAAGCGCTTACCATGTTAAGAGTCAATCGTCCTCACTTACCGGATAACACTCTTTTCCTTGCCTTGCTCTTACCATGTTAAGAGTCAATCGTCCTCACTTACCGGATAACACTCTTTTCCTTGCCTTGCTCTTACCAGGTATAGATTCTTGGTCTTTATCGCATTCATCCGGTAAGGTAATGTGAGTAAACAGCCGCTTATTTTATTTATTTTACTTTTATATTATCTATTTAACGATGTGTCTTATTTTGATTGATAAATATAAAAGAGACCTAAAATTTGGATACAGATGATTTTTGTTTTCGTCGTTTGGACTTCTACTCAGTTTTTAGGGGAAACTCTCTTTCGGCCAAGCTGTTGATGCCCTTTTTACTAAACATGATCAGAATTACTCCAACAAAATCGAGTTTTTTTATTAACCTGGATATTCAACCCGTTATGTGAGCCGACTAATCCCGGGACGACCACTTGCTTTGCAAATAGCCCGGAGTCACCGCATTTGAACCTCCGTGGCGACAAGAGGATTTTTATTCCTCCTTGGATTTGAACTTGGGACCTTCTGGTACTTTTGACCTTTGGAGCCAAGCTCAAACCAATCAGACACCACCCTTGTGGTTAACAAAATCGAGTTTACAGTTATATTTTATAGAACTTAAGTTTTTAAACCTAGACAATTGTGTATTTAACATAAAAGTGTTACAATAAGTTTATACGACTTTTGTTGACGACATTATTTAGAAAAATGTCATATAATAAGGCGCGTCCTATAAAAATGTGTTCATATAATGCTTTTAAAAAATGTTCAATAAAAAACGAATAAAACACTTTGGTTCTAGAATGTTCTTGAAAGAACTTGTTAAACCTCTGGAAACGTTCTATAATTTCTTTTACATGCAACATACCATTGTCTGGTTCAATAAACTTAAGTCGTATAAAACATTTATGGGACGTTTGGTTTGCGGGGTTGGAATGAATATAGAGGAATTTGTAATTGAATTTCATTCCAGTCCCAAACATTTGGTTCGAATGATTCCCCACATTTGAAATCATGTATTTCATTGAAATACTACAAACACAGGATTTTGATATCTTACAGAGACGTTTGGTATTTCACGGAAGTTCATAGGATTTGTATGTAATAATGTTTTAAAATACGTTAAAAAAACATACGTTTTGAAATCCTCCATACGGAAAGATTTCAAATCTTTCCACGAAATCCAAACCTCTCGAAATCATTCCATCAAACCAATCATCCCTCGGATCTTTACAAATCTAAATTCCTCCAACTCCAAATCCTTTCATAAAATTCAAACCCCTCAAAATCATTTCAATCCTACCAAACATTTTTTACATCTACAAATTTTTTACATCATACGAACCCTATTTTTTTTTATTAACTTGGATATCCAACCCGCTATGCGAGCCGACTAATCCCAGGGCGATCACCTGCTTTCCAGATAGCCTAGAGTCACCGCATTTGAACCTCCGTAGTCACAAGAGGATTTTAATTCCTCATTGGATTTAAACTTGGGACCTCCTGATACTTTTTACCTTTGAAGCCAAGCTCAAACCAATCAGTTATTAATGATTCAAAGTTCAAACCCTTATTTATAAACCCTAATTTATGGGAATTGGCAATCCTATTTTATAGTCAGAAATGGTAGGTAATATAAAATGCTTATTAATCCTTGAGTGCAAGAAGCTACCCAAAAAGGGTATTTTAGTCCATGGCGCCACTCAACTTCTTATTGACACTGCATGAACTGACCTAAATCCATCACTCTTTTCTCCAAAACCCCATGAAAAAACCCTTTCTTTGCAAACATGGATAACGTTCACAAAACCCCCTTTTTGTTCTTGATTGATTTCTGCCACTTTCAAGATTTCTTGATCAATAGATGAAAACCCACATCAAATTCCAACTGTTCTTGAGGAATTTGTGGTTTATTTGACCTCAAAAAACCCACAAGGATTTTGGTTTGTTTTCAGCAGTTTTTAGGGTTTTTGATTAGGGTTTGGTGTAAGAATGGAGGGAAGTGACATTTACAAAGCTAGTAGCAGTTTAAGAGGAAGCAGTAGTGGTGGGAGATTGTCGAGTTTAAGAGCTGCGAGTACTTCGTTATGGAGACATTCGGGTATGGATGTTTTCTCGAAATCATCTCGTGATGAAGACGATGAAGAAGCTCTCAAATGGGCTTCTCTCGAAAAGTTGCCAACTTTTGATCGTTTGAAGAAAGGTTTGCTTTTTGGATCGACTGGACAATCGTATGAAGTTGATGTCGAGAATCTTGGTTTCGAAGATAGAAAGCAATTACTCGATAGGCTTGTAACGGTTGCCGATGAAGATAACGAGAAGTTCTTGTTGAAACTCAGAAACCGAATCGATCGGTATATATTCGATTCTAACCATCGTTTTTTTAGTTTCGTTTTAGACTTGCATCATTTCTTGCATCAAAATGATGTAAACTTTGGTGTATAATTCATTTGCATCCCCATTATTTTTCATACCAAATAAAATATATTAATTTATTTTTAAATATTTAAAATGTAGATAAGTGGGATTTTTAACAACTCACAATTGGTTGAATCTTAGGTGCAATTATGTACTCATGTTCTTGATTAGGGGTGTAAATGATTCGAGTCGAGCTCGAGTATCACTATACTCGACTCGAACTCGAAACCAAATTTCCAAGCTCGAACTCGACTCGAAAACTCACGAGTAGTAAAAATCAGAGCTCGACTCGAACTCGATAACTATTTCTCAAGCTCGAACTCGAACTCGAGCTCGAACTAAGCTCGAA